TCTGGATACCATGCATTTTGTGTACGGGGTGTCCATGAGCCCCGGAACAACCGTGTTCAAACGCACACCCTTGGGTGCATAGATAACAGCCGTTGTTTTCATCAATTGAATGATGGCAGCCTTCGTCGCGGAGTATCCCACCTGAGGCTTTCCAATGTACCTCAAGCCGGCGATGCTAGCAACGCTCACCACGGCACCACAGCCTTGCTGCTCCATTATCGGTAGAACGTGTTGACACATTAAAAACACACTCTTGAGATTGAGGTCCACCTGGGAATCCCAAACTTCCTCCAGCATTGTAGCGGGACACCCCGGCTCTGACCTCCCGACGTTGTTTATCAGAATGTCAATCCGTCCATGTCTAGCCATACAAGCTTCCACAAGGGTCTTTGTTGATGTAGCTGATGTCACGTCTGTTTCGACGACGTCGCAAGTTCCACCCTCGGACTCAATAGCCTCTTTGGTGGAAACAGTCGAAGCGAGCGTGCGATTGCCACCGAAGATCTTCGCACCTTGTCGAGCTAGGAGAACAGCGATGGCAGCACCAATTCCCCAGCCTTCGGATTGACTTTGACCAAGGCCAGTGATGAGGGCGACTTTCCCGTGGAGAGCCAACATGAGGAAAACGATGTACAATCAAGGTGGAAGATAGAATAAGATTTGTATTAAGAACATCAGTGATAATATATAGATGTAGAAATTCATTCCCTTATATAAGAAATGCCATCAAAACGGGATTGTCCCGACGGGTTTCCCGCTCCAGCGGCACACTCCCGATATAAAATTTATACACTGACAGTATGCGCTATTGCTATTATATTTGCCGAGGAGGTTAGCTGAGATTTCCCTTTAGGGTTATCTAGAAAGGCGTTCTCAATATATATTGATAAGTTGCAAACCCATGCAGTCCAACCTTGGAAAGGTTGGACATATATCTTAGATCAAGTAAGGGCCTAGAAAAAAAAGACAAAGACTTGAAAGGACAGGTGAGAACGTTGAGAGGTTACTACATACATGTATGTAGGCCAAGACCTGCACGTTCAGGTTCCTATACAACCTGCAGTCTATGTACATATACCCAAGGGGTACAAGTGGTATGTACAACGCATAATCGAAATCTCACCTGGTCGACACTTATCCTACCATTCATCTACAATCTATACCATCTACCATCTAGAACCCAGTTCTCATGAGACACATCAGACATTCTCGAAGAATTCCACGTGTGTGCAGATACCGGTTTTTCTACATATAACTTGACACTTCACAAGGGCTCCAGATTTAATGTTCACCATGTGCTGTAACCCCAAGCTTCCAACCTCCACCGCCAGATGGCCCCCTTGCGTTCCTCAAAACCATTGAGGGGAAAAAAGAGCCGAGCTGAGAGGTTTTCTTTCCTGTTCAGCCTTGGAAGTGTATGGAGTCGGAGTACGACAATGATCCTTGTACCACGAATGCGATAATATTCATCACCAGAAGGGGTGAGAGACATGGCAGCAAACCCACATCACATTCATATTATTGGTCCCAAACCTACATGAACTTCGAATCTTCAAAGTTCTCACATTCAGGGGGGTTCTTGATCAGCGGGGATCGGCCAAACTTTTTGATTGGGAGACCCGCATCGGCCTTATGGGTTTTTCTTTTCTGTCTCTCTCTCTCCTGATTTTTCGCTTTTTTTTTGCACTCCAGCACATTGAGGTGTGTACTCTCTATAGAATCTACCACAGGCCCTGCATTTCCTCAAATTTCCTTCTCTAACATATACATAGAGTACGTACTTTGTACATATCGCCAAGGCAAAGACCCGCAAACTATCGGATCGACAAAACCTAGGCCTTTGGATCAATCTCCAGGGCTGGCCTATCAGCTCTTGCATGCACGAACTTGTCTATCTCCATTGTGCCATTGTGGGTGACAGGTCGCAAGCGGGGACCATGCGAAGAGCCATTGCTTTTTTCTTTGCTTCTTTTTACTGGGGAAATACTCCGTATTTAGCCCCCTCTTTCCTGTCATTTCCTTGGCTTAGATATCTCTTTGTTTTTCAAGGACTTGGAGACTATACTCACCATGTCGAGTATAACGGTATAATCACACTCCAAACATACAGAGTAGAGAAATCCTTGCTAATGTGATCCAGGTTAACGACTCAAATATTGGATCGTCGCGAGGCGACGCGTCCACTACCTCCGGTGATGTCGCCAGCAGTCTCACCGGCGAAGGGGGCTCATCGGGCTCGGCGCTGATGATGACTCTATTGCCTGCACTCGTATATGCTATGTTTTGGGTCAGCCTATTTCTGATATTTCGGCGAACTCAGCGCCGATGGTATGCTCCGAGATCCTACTTGCCCGATATACACGAGCATCATCGGAGTCCCGAGTTGCCTTCTGGCTGGGTCAACTGGCTCGGCACATTTTTAAAAATTGAAGACAATCATGTGCTCCACCACTCATCGCTAGACGGTTATCTTTTCCTGCGGTTTTTGCGCGTCCTGGCTGCGACATGCCTGACAGGCTGTGTGATTACATGGCCGATTCTGCTGCCCCTTCATGCCACTGGGGGCAACGGCAATACTGAGCTCGACATCCTGAGTTTCAGTAATGTCAAGAACCCCAACAGATACTATGCCAATGTTATAGTGGCATGTGTTTACTTCAGTGAGTGATCGTTATTCACTCGCAAAACAGCCTACTGACAAGCATAGCGTTCGTGTTTTACGTCGTGGTCAGAGAAAGCCTGTATTATGCCAACCTTCGCCAGGCCTACCTCAACTCGCCTGCCTACGCATCTCGAATGTCATCCCGTACAGTCCTCTTCATGTCAGTTCCGGACGCTTACAAGAACGAGAAGAAACTACGACAAGTATTTGGAGACTCGATCCGCCGAACCTGGATTACCTCCGACTGTTCAAAGTTGGAAAAGATGGTCAGTCAACGAGATCGACTAGCCGAGAAGTTGGAAACCGCAGAGACCAAGCTCATTCGGCGAGCAAATAAAATTCGCACCCAAGCAATCAAAACAGGCGAATTGAGTATCGATATGTGCGTGGACTGCGAGTCAAGCAACCCAGCATGGTCTCACAAGGTCGAACGTCCCATGCATCGGCTGAAACTTTTTGGCGAAAAGGTCGACTCTATCCACTGGTATCGGGCTCAGCTCGCAAAGAAAATCGAGGAAGTATCAAATCTGCAAACCAAACACCAAAATGGTGAAGCAAAACAGCTCAGTGCAATCTTCGTCGAATTCAACAGCCAGGCCGATGCACAAGTAGCCCTACAAACCCTGTCGCATCACCAGCCGTTTCATATGACGCCTCGCTTTATTGGCGTCTCACCTCGCGAGGTTGTATGGTCGGCCCTGAATCTTAGCTGGTGGCAAAGGATTGTTAGGAGATTCGCAGTCCAGGGGTTCCTTGCGGCGATGGTCATCTTTTGGTCATTTCCTGCGGCAATAGTTGGTGCAATTTCGAACATCACATACATCTGCACGCTGATTCCCTTCCTCGGGTTCATCCTTGACTTGCCCGATTTCATAAAAGGAGCAATTGAGGGTCTTCTGCCTGCCGCGGCCCTAGCGGCGTTGATGTCACTAGTGCCGATCATATGTCGCAGTACGCTCTCCAAGTTCGCCTTGTTCATCTAACCCCTGCTGACTTCTACATAGTATGCGCTAGACGAGCTGGAGTCCCATCAAAAGCACGAGTTGAGCTGTTCACACAAAGCGCTCACTTTGTTTTTCAGGTGGTGCAAGTGTTCTTGGTCACGACCCTGACATCGGCTGCGTCGGCTGCTACTGCACAAATTGTCAAGGATCCTCTCTCGGTCAAAGATCTGCTGGCGCAGAACCTACCCAAGGCGACCAATTTCTACATTTCTTACTTCATGCTGCAAGGGTTGAGCATGAGCTCCCTGGCCCTTGTTCAAATTGTCAGCGCCTTGGTGTTCAAATTTGTCACCACATTCTTTGCCTATTCCCCTCGTCGTCTGTTTCAAGGATGGGCCGAACTTGCCAGTCTTAGCTGGGGCAATGTCTTTCCCATCTTCACCAACATGGCTGTAATTGGTAAGTGATGGCCCTACCTCATGTTTTCACGATAACTGACTAATTCTTTAGCGTTAACCTATTCATGCATCGCACCTCTGATTTTGGGATTTGCCTTCCTCGGACTTTATCTTGTATACCAAGCCTACCGATACAACTTCCTCTTCGTATATGACATCCAAGTCGACACAAAGGGACTAGTCTACCCACGAGCCCTGCAACATTTGCTAACAGGTCTCTACCTGGCTGAGATTTGCCTGATAGGACTTTGCGCCATCAAGGGCGCCATTGGTCCAGTCATCATCATGGCCCTGTTCATGGTCGGCAACATCCTGGCACACATGTCGCTCAACGATGCACTCGCCCCACTGAATACTTTCTTACCGCGATCCCTTGACGCCGAAGAGGAAATGCTTCAAGAGAAAGAAGATGCAGTGGCAGCGATCAACGAAGAGCGCCGCCCACGCGCAATGGCCTTCTGGAGATGGTTCCACCCGAACGTTTACAAAGATTACGCGGCATTGCGTCAAAAGGTTCGCCGCAACGTTGAGGGGGTTTCCTACACGCCTGAAGAGATGCGTACAGCATATTTCGAGCCATGTGTAGCATCACCACCACCAAATTTGTGGATCCCACGCGATAAGTGGGGTTTCAGTAATCACGAAGTTATGGAGACAGATTCAGTAATCAGCATCACGGATGAGGGTGCGCACCTGAATGAGAAGAACAAGATTGTGTGGGATAAATATGACCCTCATCTTCCTTTACGGGAATTGAAAACCCTGTATTGATCTTGGGGATCTCGCTATCTGCTATGAAATTTAATGACTTGATGACAGTCATGGATTGGTTCTTTTTTGTACATAAATGCTGATATTCGATACCGAGGCTCCTAAGCAAAGCCTGACCAAGCGCGCCCAAATGTTTATAATATACTCAACATCAGATAAAATTCATCAAACGGTCAAAGTAAAGTTGACAGCATTCACAACACCATTATCCCGCGGGAAAAACTCGAAGGTGAACACGGTCGATTGGCCAGCAGAGATGACAGAGCTAATAGCAGATGAAGTGAGGATTACATGGGAGTCATCCCAGTTATACTGGTTGCTGTAGGTCTAGATTGATATATTAGTATTGGCAAAAAGGTACACAAAGAGGAACAGGGCTCAGCTTACAGCTCTTGCTTGCTGGATAGGACCCAGTGATACCGTCCAGTCATCGACCAGGTATGTTCCACTCTTGGTCAAAGCCTTTACTGCGGCGATAGTTGGTAGTCCACCCCAGGTGATTGGAATTGATAGGTCAGAGCCAGAGACTGACGAGGCCACTGCCGAAGTGGATGACAGAGTTGGAGCCTTCCATTGAACGATTTGGACAGTGGGGGACGAGTCGCCCCCCGAGAATTTCAGGGTTAGAGTGGCAATGACACCCGGTGCTGTCGTGGACGAAAGATGCTTGGACAAGTACGAAGCTGTGAAGATTATGTTCGCACCCGAGACAGAATAGTCTGTTCCCGACGACAATTTCGAGCCAGTAGAGTCACTGATTGACGAGAGCGTGTTACCGTTGAAGATAAATGGAAGAGTCTGTGCTGTCACATCTGTTCCATACCGATGGAAAATATAAGCCGACGATGACTGGGTGGTTGCAGAGGCGTCCTTAGTACTATCTGGCAAACTATTTGCAGTAGACTCGGTGGATTTTGTTATGATCGAGAGTGAGTTAGAGTCACGCCAGACTCCAGTGGTTCGATCCAGGTGGTCCAATCCGTTATCCCACAGCACGCAGGAGATGTCGAGACTGGCTGCAGTCTTGATCAAGAAGTCAACGTACTTCCATCGAGCAGCGGGCTCGGTGTTGGTGGGTGAAGCATCGTATTCACCCAAAAGGAGAGGCACATCGGGGAAAGCGTTGCGCAGCAGCTGGAAGTCGGATTGTACAGCAGTCTTGTCACTGTCAGAGCCCCAAATGGTCTTTCCCCTGTTTGGAGTCAGTAAATAATGCCAATATGCTGAGGTTTATTCTCCTACCATGCGCTGAAAATAAAGTCGTCTAGTAGCCAGCCATCCAGTCAGTTCAATGCAACACATTATACCTATGTATAAACTGATTTCTGACTCACAGGGACTGTAGTAGTGGAATTGAATAGCATACGGATTTGAAAATCCAGAAGGTGCAACAAACCAGTCTGCAGTCTTGACGCTATCCTGAGCACCTCCGACTAGAGTAACAACTCTCTGCGAGTTGAACCCACCAGCATCGTTGATAGCCTGGAGGAAGATCTTGTTCAGTTTGTTGAGCTCGGTACCGTCGGCCGCAGTATTGCACGGAGGCTCATTGATAGGCTCAAAGGCAACAAGATTCGATTTGCAGGCCAACTTGGTTCCAATTTGATACCAGAGATGGTAGAATTTCTCTTCAATCATGGTAAGATTGGCTCCGGACTGGGTAACATCAGCCCAAACCCATGAATCTGTTTGTGTCAGTAAAGGACTTGGATATACAAGGTCATATATCATACCATGATGCACATCGACAATGGCGTAGAGTCCACGGGCCACAATCATATCAACCACATCGGAGACTCGCTGCAACCACGCTGGGTCAACAGTCCAATCCGGTGAGCTTCCGGTGAAATGGTAGGCCCAGGTAACTGGGAGTCGGACACTCTTAAATCCGGAATTCTTCACAGTATCAAATGTCGACGCCACAACTGGTACATTATTCCAAGATCCCTCATCGGGTACAGCATCAAGGGTGTTTCCCAGATTCCAACCGGGATGCAGATTAGACACAAAATCGGCAGCTGAGATTGCACTAAATGTTCCGGTGCACACAGCCCCTGCCGAGGCAGCAATAGCTGTCTGAGCTGTGGACTTGGTCGTTGTTGTCAGCGTGGTAGTGGCGGCCTGGGCTATCCCGGCGAGGGCCAGGAGGGCACCAAAAAGGAGAATCTGCATGGCAAGATCTACTATCGGAGGGAGTTGACAGACCCTGATGATTCGCAAAGCTGGACAGAATTAACGGCACCTCAGGTATATTTATAGGCCAAATTTATCATATCAGCATTCTTTATACTACATATACATATGTATGTTGTATGCCCTAATCCTAGTTCATCTGCGGGCCGGCGGACCGGGGTTGTACTCTTCACCACATTAGAGTGTGCCAAAACGCCCTTAACTTAGGCTAAAGAGCCTATAAACGAGTTGTGCGTATGCTTGGCATAGATTGCAATAGATTGCATATTTTAGTCTTTCTCCCCGGGGGAAAGACTATCTGGGAAAAGGCGCCATAATAACTCCTCCAATGAAGAAGCCACTTCCCACAAATACAATGTGAGAGTCCTTTAATTTCCCCAACCTTGGGGCAAATTAGGTGTAATCCATGCGGACAAGTCCGAAAATAGGTAGGCATTTCACATGTCACCTGGTTTATGTGTGTTTATTAGCCCCGCTCCTATTGAAGTCGCGGAGAACGTCCGTGTTGGTTTTCATAAACCCGTGGAGAATGAGGAGAATAAGGAACAAGAAACTAGTATGTTCATATGGAATCATATTAAGCAAAGACAGGTTTCTCTACCATATATATATCATTTGTAGGCGTCATATTCATTCCATCAAGTGCATTGGCGTAAAGAAAATATCGGGGTCTTTCATCATTTCCAGGTCTTGCATTGGTCACATCACTATGCATTCTTTGTTCCGCTCTGGCTCCATTAAGTTGTGATCTCCTGTACGTACAGACGGGCGGGGTCGGTGAGAATACTGTGGGGTTCGATTTCGCGAATTCCGGTTGCCCGGGTACTGGCTTCCTGGGGCACCACCGTATGACCTTCTGTCAGGGGGCGAATAGCGCGGTCCGCTAGCAGCTTGTTCATAGGGAGGAGGGGGTGCGTTTGGGTCCTCAGGTTCGGCCCCATGTTGTGGCGGAGGTCTAGGTTGAGGACTAATCACATTGGCAACGCTCGAAGATCGCATGGGTACATTGCTCAAGCGAGGCGAAGGCGATGGTCGATTGGAAGAATTACTCGGGGCAGACGTGCGACGATCATGAGTTTGCTCGTTCCTAGCATTTTCGCGTCGCTCTTCTTCTTGGAACTGAAGTGAGAGCGCATATGCATAGTCGGCATCACTCTGTTCTTGACTCAGCTCAGGGGATTTCGATGCTTCGTTTGCATTTGGTGAATGAGTGGCTGGGTCATTCGATGTTCGGGGGCTCGCGGGACTGGGGCCAGATGGGGCCGAAGGACCAGCGCCCACGGGGCGAAAGTCGCCAGAGTAATATTCTGTGTTGAACCCTGTCACATCGACTAGAGATTCCCAAACTACCTCGGCATGGCCCGCATAGCCAGCATCGGTAACCAAAGTATAGAGTTGGTGGGATTGCGGGTGTTTATATAGAGTCGAGAAATGGTCGTTACGGAAAAGAATGGAGACAGATCCAGGCGTAAGTTTAGTCGAGACCTGTGTCAAGCCAAATGGACTCAATTGTGTCGCATTCTCAATTTCCACAAATCGCTGGATGATTTGGATATCCGCCATGGTATTCTCTTCCTCAGGTTCAAGTGCCTCGCCTCGCGCCACCCGTTCCTCAAACTCTTGTCTGCGAAAAGGCAGCATTTGAATATCCTCGTAATACTGAGCAGTGCGTGACATTCCAGCATGAGTAGGACTGGACCAAGAGGCTAGCCAGCCATGGATCAATGGTATACCAAACGTGCTGTATAGTCGAAGATCACTGGTTTCGAGGAAAGTGCCAAATCCTTCAGTAGATTCCTAATACTAGGTTAGTATAAGTGACCCTTGACAGATAAATCGCATGTACTCACCATTGTCAGACGTGGGTTGACATTCATGCCGGTATGCAGCATCGTCAGGAATTGAGTGAGGGCCTCGATGTCTGGGAATTCCTCATCGGGGCCCAGGCATGTTGTCAGCTCTTCAAACATCGCCTCGATGAGCAGACCCAGAGAAATTTGCTCGCGGGTTGACAGAGCTCTAACGATTGGTGGGTGAGCGTTGGGGGTCGCTCGCAGCACTAATGCATTTATAAGGGCCAGCAGTGGACAGGGTCCGTTTTGATTTTGGACCAAAATCGGAGACTCTAGCAGTTGACCACTTTGATCGGTCCATCGGATGTGCCGAATGGTGTAGGTTTCTGATCTTTGCTCCTTTTGTCGTGCAGCTTCTGCAGCGGATATTATAGGGCTTGCTTGGGGTTGTTGTGGCTGTTGCGCCACGGAAGATGCGAGGCCTTGTTGTTCTGACAATGATCTTGCTCCGTTCGCGGCTGGTTCTGAGTACACCGAAGACGCAGGATGAGACCCAGTCTCGACCCCCGAATTGGCAGTGGCACCCAACACACCCAAATCAAGTAGTTCATGATGAGATGTGGCGGAGGTTCGACTAGAGAGATCAACAGATGGAGTGTTGATTCCAGCATCCGATTCAAGCCTCCCCGAATTGGTTGAAGGTCTATATTGTGCGCGGGCATGGTTTTCCCCATCAGAGGGGTCAGGCGGCTGCACAGCAACCGCTGGGACATATGGGTTAGACTGCACTCCTTCTAGGTAGACCTCTTGTGGGGCCGAGACTTCAATGGACTGTTGAGACCCCCATGGTGAGTTATCATCGAGGTGGTGACCGCCTAACACGGGGCGTTGCTCGGAATAAGAATGAGAATGAGGAGCTTCGGCCCATGGGGATTCTTGTTCGGGCTGATCTAAAAGAGAGAGCCGTGCAGTCATCGGAATATACCCTTCGGCTGTAATTGTTAGCAACAAATATCATTTTGAGAAAACTTTCAGAAGCAAGGTAATGTCATACATTGGCTCAATGCGTCACTGTTTGAAGTCGCATGTGAATCACGCCCCCACTCATTGCGATCCAAGAGATCTTGAGTATGCTCTGCCGGCCTGGACTTCAAGAATGGGTTATTCGACTGCAGCTGTAGCGGTAGCTCTCCAGTCGAAGTCTGAGCGGCGGACGTTGGCAGCCACACATTCTCAGCCGCTCCTGGTTGTTGACCTGCCATCAATGTAGGCGGAACCCAATGTCCGCTGGTATTTGCAGGTTCCTTGTATGCTCCCTCATACTGATTATACTGACCGGAGCGGCCATCATCCGGCCTTCCGTTATTGTCTGGCCATGAGTTCGGTGGTTGGCTGGTGGGAGACCCCACCGGCGACCGCTGCGCCTCCTCAAGTGGCATCAGGTCAAACGCAGGTGAAGTGTTGAGGTCGGGAGAGTAGATAGAGTCCTCAGAAGGAAATCGGCTTAAACCAGTCGGGCGGTGGGAGGATGTAGAGTTGGGTGATTTGGGCGAGCGTGCGTCCGATCGAGCATTTGACTTGTTAATGTTCTCCAGACGCGGTGGGGGCTGTTTGCGCAGGCCCATGAAGACGTCCGTTGACCTTGTGGGAGGCGGAGGGTTTCCAAGGTTGAGTTCGCGTATAGTTCTAGGAATGGGAAGGCTAATAAAACATCCGACGTCAATCGAGTCTGTATTTTTGATTTGAGAGTGAATTCAGGATGTAGGCTCAAAATAACAACAATAAGCCATTAGGTATAGGAAAAACGCCTTGCGCTGGGGTGGCAGGGGCTGAAGTGCCCGTATACGCGTATACGTAGGTGATGGGCAACAGTCTAGCCTTTAGCTTGAGGTCAGGAAATATCATGCCCTAGATGGAGAGAAAGCTATGTTGAACAAGGCAATGACAGAGATGGGTGATGATTGATCTCAAGAGGTCTCTTCTCTCACGCAAGGCACCCGGATTCCGCAGATCCACCACGCTGCGGGATTGTTGGTTGACCTGGGGGAAGCTCTGACACCAGTATTGGTATTTACCATATTATTCATATGTAAGAGTGGCCCTAGGTAGAGTGGCGGTGCTAGTGCGGTATGGGGCAGTATGCTGGAGACTTATGACGAAATGGGCTGGAGCCAGTAATTTAAGGCATGATATTCAGGCATCAACCAGTGGGGCATCCATCGACATTGAACTTAAATAACTGAGGCATCACTGTTTAAGTTTAAGGCACCAACATTCCGGATTATCTATACACCCGGCTGTGAGTATCCTCGTCCTCTGATTGGCTGTAATTTTATCGGCCATAAAAGTCCCCAGAACAATTTTGTGGAAGAGCTAGAGGCACAGCTGTTCCATCGCCCATCATGCATTCTTATATTCGCCCGGGCCAGTTCGTGGCTATCCGGCTCCAGTCGGATCAGTTAAGACTCATCCAGATCATCCCCGATACGTAAGTACTCTCTGCTCTATGCGGGGAAAGATTCCATCGCAAGAACTAACAATCGACCAGAGTCGTCAATTTGGGTAGATTTGGTAGCTTTACCGCCAATCAGATTATTGGACGACCATTCTATTTCACATTTGAAATCCTCGATGCGTGCGACGATGCAGGCCACCAACTACGTGTCGTGTCAGCAACCGAGTTGCATGCAGAGACCCTCCTCGCGGACGGGGAGGGAGATGGGGAGGGTGACGACATGGATACTGGCGAAAATGGAATACCGATGCGAACAAATCGTCAAATCAATGACGAAAACTCTTCCCAGAAATTGACATTGGAGGAAATCGAAGAATTGAAGAGAGAGGCCGGTGGCGCGGGGAAAGACATTGTCGCAAAGCTCTTGGAATCGCACAGCGCAATAGACCAGAAGACCGCTTTCTCTCTTGCCAAATACACGCTGAGGAAACGCAAGAAGTATCTGAAGCGGTTTACCGTCCTTCCGCTGGACGTTGGCCTTCTCGCCAATTACTTGATCGAAGAACGGGATGCGCAAAAGTCTATGGAGCTACGGGACGAACACATCGGTCTCATCGGGTGCTGGGGTAATGTACATCACAGCGGAAACGTTGAAGTGGGTGAGGGGATGAAGCCCCATGGACGTTATGCCATCGTCGATGAGACTGGCGGACTTGTTGTTGCCGCGATGG